TAAGAGGAAGGTGTCGAGTTCCTGTCGACTTCCTTGGTATTTGTCTGGTAAGGCAATCTTGAGTGTTTCGTTGATGGTAATTTCCTTGGGAGCATCGGTCATCTCGACATCGTCGGTGTCGGGTGCTTGTGCCTGACTGCTCGCGGATGCACTGGTGGGTGCCATATCGTCGGTTGGTATTGAATCGGTACTTGAAGCAGAAATGGTGCTCAAAGTGTTACGGGAGCTGCCTCTAGGGTCACGTGGAAGTGTCTAGAGATCTCTCGAGGTGGTTTAGACTAGACTTCAAGTAGGAATTCAATAAGGTTGTAACTGGTTGCAATTCTCGTAACTATAGTAATGAAACTAATGATTGATCTTGAGCACGAAGCTCTACACTGTAATGAAACCCATTCCTTTATATAGACCTTCGTTCTCTGTGCTCAGTCGGATCACAAATGATCCCTCTGATCCGATCAACTGGATCACTAATGATCCCTCTGATCCGGTTACCTAAGCGTCGGGGTCACGTGACGTCTATTGTGGCAGACCATCGTAACAAATCTAAACTATCTCGAGAGAACTCTAGTCATTTCCACATGACCCTAGAGGCAGCTCCCGTAACATAATTTATATTTAAAAGTGTAAATTGAGATGAAAGTAGTCTACTTAATAATATGATTTACTCGGTGTTAAACTACGTTATAATATCTAGTATATTAAAATAAATTATAATATACTAGAATGAGATATAATAATAAATATACGAGATACTATTCGGAAAGAATGTTATATGTATATATATATATATATGCCTCATCTTTTTTTTTCTTTTTAGAAATATAAAAATCAAGAATATGTAGTATACTAACCGCTGTTAAAGGACCTCGTATTCCCATCGTATCCGTATAGGTAGCTTAAAGGAGAATTGATGAGTAGATAAGAAATGTATCAATCAATCAATCAATCTAATCCGATTAGATTTCGATTCGATATAATTGAACACGCGAGATCAGTCATCAATCCGTACTCACCCAACCTCACCAATGCAAATCCCAAACCTCCATCATGAACATCACATCTCATGCACACCACCCACCATGCACACCACCCGCCAAGCACCTAGAACACCCATCCCAACACGAACACCCCCGTAATAGCATGCATCATGAGCATTCGCATCAGGTAGTATACTTATACTTATCGCAACTTAAGTGAGTTAAATCCACCAATCCATTCAAATCACTCCAACCCGTCAGAACCCTTCCCCCCTCGAAAAAGCGACCACGATACAAAAAGCGACCACCCAAACAATCATACGACCAATACAAAAAAGAAAACGAAAGCCACAAAATCAGACCAAGCCAAACAAAAAAGAAAAAATCCAAGCCCTCATTATTCCCTCACAAAAAAGAAAAGAAAAGAGAACAAATCTTTCCATCGCAACTTACGCATGCATACCTACCTATAAGCAGAGTCCAGTACAGCATACCCCATCCGGCACTTCACACCCCTATTTTCATATTTGGAGTTACCGATTTGGTGGGGATTGATCTATTCGGTTAATTCGGATTGAACACCAGCCTCGATTAGCCAGCCCGCCTGCCCGCCCGCCGGTTGAATAAATGAATGAATGAATCATAAATAAACAAACAAATGAATTGTCGGCGTATGGATGGATGAACCAGACCGTAACCTTCCAATGTACTTCTCTTGATATCTGCGGGGTTATATGGATACTATAAAAGGTGGCGTGAATGGTGTTGGAGGTACCTACCTAGGACCTAGGTACTCCCACTCTTGAAGAGCTGTGTGAGTGTGGGAATACCGAATACTGCATACCGAGTAATGATTGGCTAGAAGCCAAGCATAGAAAAGAAAGGTAAGAAAAGAGGTTGGTAATTATGCAGCATATGATTCTAGCATACCTACGTGCATGCATACGATGCAAGCATGGGATGGGATTTTACCTAGCGATACGAAGAACTCTATCCGGATAGTTTTGTGCAGAAGATATATGTAGCTATGTACGAAGTATATATGTGGATATAATTGTCCGTGCCAACGAACAAGCTTTTTGGCTGTGTGGCTTTTTCATGAGTGGATTACCTACCTGGTATATAGTTCTCTCATATCATGTCATATGAGAGGTAGGGTTGTAGGCGAAGAATCGTTCGTTTGTTGTTTCGTCAAACACTGGTAGGTATTTGTTTGTTTATGAGAATCTGATTGATTTGACGAACACTCGAAAATGGAGATGGACAGATCATTCGGAGAAAAATATGAAATGGAGTATGTATTCTGTCCGTGTGCATGATATCTATTGGTTCAATTGAATGGAGATGGAAGAGCGGAGCGCAAAATGGAAAAGAAGGGATTCATATGATTCGTATGTTATGTGATACGCGATTTTTCTGAAGTTATATTTCGAAATGGGTGTGTGTGTGTGTGTGTGTGAGATATCGATCGAGCACGGGTATAAATGAGTTTTGGGAGGATAATAATGAAAAAGGTTAATGAGAGCTAGGTTGGTAGTATGTAGGTACCCCAGTAAAAGACCGAATAACTTCCATGAATAAAGTTTGATTTTATTCTTGATTTTGTGTTTGTTTATAACTGAGTCATACTCTCTGGATACTCTCTCTCTCTCATGATAATTTATTGTAGAAACTCATACACAGAAGAGTCCCGAGTGTATAAAATGTGATTTCAATTCTAATCCTTCATGGATCCCCAAATCGTACTCGTAACATGAGAGACTGAGAGTTGATGGGAGTGGGTCGAGGAAGATTATCATCGACGACGAAAAGGTTTCAAATGGAAGTGGACAAGGGAGAAGACAGAGAAGAGAAGAGGAAGACGTCAGGGAAGGAGAAAAAACACCGTAATTTGGTCGAGGTGATGAATGGGGATCCATTCTCTGATTTCTCTTGTTGATATGATTTCCGTGGTCCGTTCCGGGGGGCTTGGTATTGAGATAATTATATATGATATGGAAGATCTGGTTCATTTGTATTTAAGATACGAACTCCGGAGTAGCAACATAGAGCGACCTGCAAAGTAAACTTCTCGTGCGGCTATGCCGAATCATTTTGAAAATTGAAATGCAATTATCCTCTCTTGTCTTTTATGAATCTTCTCGCTTGGATTGGATCGGAGTGGATGGTGGAATTATCTGCAGCTAGTCCCTGACTGTCAAGATACTCGGATACTTTATAGGTTAGTTGTGCTCGGCAGTGTTGATTATTGACAGCAGTGATTTTCACTCCATTGACAAATGATCTGAAGAGAATGAGAGACACGGCAGGATTGATAGAAAGAAGAAAAGAAAAGAGAGTTGGTGGTGGATCAGAGAAGAAAGAAAAGCAGGTACGGAAAGGCGAAATATGCAATCAACATAGCAATCAAAATCAAATAGATGATTAACTGATCTGAATTGTTATCGATATTTCGGGCGTCTCGGGCGTTTGATGTTTTGCATTCATTCATGTTTTCCATTTCAGCTGGACCAGGGGGGAAATGGTTGAGTTTGAATGTTGTATATCGGAAAATGTATCTCGCATAACTTAACTTATCTTTTTGCTTGATTGATGTTGACAATTGAAGATCGAGTGGTCAGAGATACCTTGGTACCTGGATATACTTGCACAGTCATGATGAACGGGTTGTGGTTTGTGAATTGTGAATGGTTGATGTGATTACCTAGGTAAGAGCTTGCCGTGAACTACGACGATAGTGGCTATACGTCCTCGAGTAGTGGTTAGAGAATTGACAAGACGGGAACGGGAAGGTAGTTAGTGCGAAAGAGGGAAAGACGATGATTATAATGCGTTAAAGGTAGAATGCTGCTTTTATCTTGCATGATTGGATGCATATCTACTCGTAGATGCTCTCGAGATGCTGTTGGGACTTGGGATGCATTGATGAGATGCATATCTAGTACTCGTCGATAGATTTAGATGTTCACTAGGCTTGGTTGGTGTGATTAAGTCTCGAAAGATTACCTGCGTACTCTACTCAAGGACTCGGAAACAGGAGATTTCGATGAGAAACAAAAAAGCATTTCATACTATCATGTACCGATGTATATAACCCGTACACGAAATAGCCATTTGGTTTCGAATTGATCAGGACTTCACTCAGCACACAGTGCACAACACCAAAATAAGAATTATTTAATGTCAGTGTGGAATGTCCAAGAAAGCTAAAAGTTACTTTTTTTTCTCTTTCCATCTCATGCTGTATCACAGTCATCAATCAGGCACACGAAGGCGTTTTTTCCAAGAAACTTTCCAACGGTTCAGAGGCAGTCCAAGTGATCGGATCAAGCATCCACCACTTGTCGGATACGAGTGCCACCATGTTATGCCATGCGGGAGGGGAAGAAATGATGAGAGATGAGAGATTGTAGATGGTAGATGGTAGATGGTAGATTGTCTTCCCCTTCTCCTTCTCTTTCTTCCTCTTTTTTCACTCTGCATAATCATAGATACCTACCTACCTAGGTCCTATTCTCAACTGACACTGACACCCACCACGGCTGTTTTTGAGTTTAAGAGGTTCAAGACATTTCCCTCAATTCATCTCCCAAAACACATCACCTCGAATATCGACCTAGGTTCTAGGTACGTGGGTTGAGTACTCTAATTGAAACTATTGTAAAGCTAATTCAGCCTCATACACAATAGCCATAGCAATACTACCTACATCGTACCTAGCAATAGCAATACTAGCAATAGCAATACTACCTACCTACCTACCTAGCAATACTAATAAAGAGCTCTCCACGGGACGAGACCATTTTATGAAACATTAGGCAACAAGGGGAATAAAAAGAAAAGAAAATAAATCACCCTCACCATGGACCAATCATCTCTCCCCATGAGACATATTTATTAATAAAAACTAAACTTCACATAGGGTTATATCGGTCCACCCCGAAATGTTACTTGCCGCTTTTCTCATTTCATTTTGGGCAGACACGATGCTTTTTGGTTCAAGAGAGCAACACGAAATAAAGACCTTTGGACTTGCCAAATACACTAATAATAATAATAAGAAGAAGTCGTGAACTTGTGTAAGAGACTGACTGGGTGCCTTCCGCTTCCTACCTAGCGACACTTCTTGCTCTATTATCGATTTATCTTCCTACTTTTTTTTCTGCTCCAGATTACCTTTCCTGACCTCTCTATCTACACTATCTTTCCACCCACCCATCCATCCATCCATCCATCACGCTTTCTCTCACCTCTCACCTCTCTCCCTCTCTCTTCCTCTTCCTTCCTCTCTTTCCATTTCCACACTTCTCTCCTCCTCCTCCTCCCTCATCATCGCTCACTTCCTCCAATTACAAACTGTACTACTACCTCGAAACTCCACATTAACTTAATCTCCTACCACTGCCCCATTTTCCTTTTTCGTCTCCTTCCTCTTCCTCCTCCTCCTCCTCCTCCTCCTCCTACATCCACCCTTCTCGTCCCCTCTGGTCTTTTTCTTACATCACCCAAACAACCTTAACTTTACATTCGTTCTTATTACTTTCACTTTTTGTCGACGGGAAGGATTATACCAATCTCTTAGTAATTTCAACCTTGGTGAAATGGCTATCATTGTCATCGCTATATGACGGATTGATTTGATTAATTAACTGGTTGATTGATCGACTTCATTCAATGGGATACCTTGATTGATATCTCTCATATCCTATTCTCGTTCGTTGGCAATCCCGCATTCCACCTTCCCCGACATTCCATTAACTGTTTTTTCCGGCAACAGCTAAGACAATATATGATCATCGATAACCTTACCATTGGAAAACAATCCATAAAGTCACCACGGAGACACTCACTCCTCAAAAGTAATTGATCATGTTTTATTCACTACAAGATTCGTATCGACTGGGGCTCGTCGCGATATGTCTCTTCGCCTTCTTCAAACATGTCCAGGGAATATCTATGGAGTATTGTTCAACCTTAAATACAGGTTCCGGCAGTGCCAGTAAGTCAACCTTCATGATTCAACTGGAGACTGACCATTACTGATCTTGCCCTCCTTGTAGATTCCTCTATCTATCAATCCGATGGTCTATGTCACGATTTCTGCTTGGATGAATACGCTTTTGCGGTGGTGCAAGGATCAGAATGTTGGTGTTCAAATTATGTGCCTGGGACTACATCTTCGACGAGCAATTGCAACACCCCATGCCCAGGTTATCCAGATGATACGTGTGGTGGAGATGGTTTATATGGATACATGTCTTTGACATTATCTCCATCGGGAACAAGAGGAGCTGCGACTATATCTTCGACTTCGACTTCGACTTCATCTGACAAGGTTAGTACTTGGATATAATCCCTTCTTTCCTCTCCCAACCTGAGCCACCATCCCCATGACTTTCCGCGTGCCTCGACTGGCAACCCATTTGACTTGTTTTCAATGTTAGGTAACTACTTCGACTTCGAGTCCTGAACCAGAACCAGTGACAACTTCTTCTTCTACTGCTGAAGCCACTTCTTCTACTATCGTTCAACCCGTACGCGACTTTCTTTGATTGCAAATTTATTTAATCCATCTATTGCCAAATAAATAATATGTGAAGTCGCCAAGCTAATTCTTCCGATTAGAAAACTACTTCATCAACTAGCTCCACAGAAGCATCCACTACTTCAACAATACCACCCACTACAGTAGCCGCCCAAAGGTCGTCTTCGTCTACATCTGGCTCGACCAGTTCTACGTGGACACCCACTCCAGTCATATCCCTCGAAACCATTACCGGACAAGTTCGAACAGTTACTGTTACCCCAACTGCACCACCAAATTCAAGCAGCGACTCGTCGGCTTCGAAAGGCGATGGAGGTTTGACAACTGGAGCTGCGGTGGGTCTGACGATTGGTCTGGTAGCTTTAATCGCAATCATCGCTGGTGTTACATACTTCTGTATAAGGAAGAGAAGACAAGAAAAGGCTGAAAAATATGCTGCCGTGAATAGTCGAAGGGAAAGCCTAGCCGGTGTGGGTGTGGGTGGACCAATACCATCGAGAACCATGAGCGAAAACTCACGATATGTTCTCGGCACTGATGGAAAACGCGTTATCGAAACATGGGAACCCGAATTAAATACACCTGGATCCAGGAGGAGTCAATTGATGCCTGTGGATCCAAGATTAGATCCTTTTGCTGCTGTCTATCAACGTGGAGATAACAGGAGTCGAGAGAGTATCAATACTATTCGAGATGATCACGATTATTCAAGACGAGTTCATCAACAAGGACCAATACTTCGAGCTGTCAACCCTGATCCCGATTAACAATGATTACATCCTTTCCTTTTTCGCCACACACGATATCACGAACCTTCTATTTTCCACCTTCAGAAACATACAGGATTTGAAAGTTTTCACCGCAATTTAGGTGAACGTTGGAGTTTTCAGCGAAATAATCTCGGATAATACCCTTCCCGAAGACAGCCAGAGTTTAATTAAAAGAATTGGAGCTCATTCACCAAAAGCACTTGGAATAAGTATCATATTCCACAGTTGCCAAATTAATAATGGTAATTTGTCACATGACTATGACAATCCTTGGTGTGGCTAGTTTCGGCGAACCTTTTCATTTTTCATTTCAAATCGTATTCATAGATTTTACACGCACAAGCGATGGCCTGGTTCAATGTTGGATGAGATGCTCAAGAGAGATGTCTTCTATTCTTTGAACTTGTTATTAAGATGCATATATGTGCTTAGTGGAGGTGAGAGGAAATAGGTTACAAAGCAAACGGTGGATTGTACATACATTGAGGATTGAAAATTAATTCATCTCGGAAAACTTCTGGCTTGGTAGTTGAGTTGCTGGGATGGGTGTAAATGGATAGGAATATGGTTCCTGGGATGATCCAGCGAAACATAAGTACATGGACATACAATATTAAATATTAAGGACTTATTGTGTAGTGATTGGTACTTGGATTTGATGTGTGTAAGTGCGAGTGCAAGTGATAGTGTGTGAGCTGTATTTCTTTTAATTGGTGAGTGGATTCAATCAAGTGAGATGGAAATACCATTTAGGGGTAAGAGGGGTTTCCGCTCGGATAGAATATAGATGGGAATTCTTCCTAGTTTGGATAAATAGCTACATTTCAAGGTCATCAACCTTGAAAGTTAAAACTCGCCTCAAAAAGATTAGGAGGATGAATTCAGTAGGGGAGAAGAATTCTGGAACTTTCATCAATGAGGGTTGAAGATTGAATTGGAAGAGAAGGGTGGCGAGGATGTGTATGTTTTCTATCAAGTCTTAATAACTAAGAGATTCTTATGATTATATGTCTATGGCGAGAAGGTTTAGCTGGGGGGATGGATTTAGTGGGGGAGAGGGAGGAATTGTGGATTTTTTTGTTAATGGGGGTTAAGTCGGGTACCCCACTTTCGGGCCACCCCTCTTTTAGGCCACCTCAAAAAAGCTTATCACAAAAAGCAATCTTTCACTTTAAATCTTTAATAACTTTATAACTCTTAAATCAATTGATTTAAAATTTTAACATGTTATTATTTACATTATACTTAAAATATATATTGAAATTAATATTAGTTTAGTTTTACATATTATAATAAATAAGCATTCAATTCAATAAGCTACTTCGAATTATAAAATTCTAAAAATTACTCTTTAAAATTATATAAATGGTTATCTATTTTATAATAAAGGTATACAATATATACAAAAGATAGTTCTAATATAAAAGAAATGATTAATAAATTAAATATTAGTCCTATATATTAATAAATTTATAAAATTAAGAAAATAATTCTATATTGGAAAACAATAGGTATAGAATTTTCTTTAAAAGAATTTAGAAATTAAAATTAAAAAATAAATGAAAATCGATTCAGTATATATCAAAAGTATAATTATTGATATTATTAATTAATAGTTTTTAAAGTTAAATTTACTTTTAATTTATTATATTAAATCTCAACATTATTATAATATGAATGAAGTAGGTATACAAAAAGGCTAAAGATTAAATAAATTAATTCTGGGAAGCTCAAAATGTCATTTTATTTAGAAAAAGAAGCCTGATTCTAAAACTTGAATATTACTTATAAAATACATTTTAATTATAAAAAAAGCTTTTAATTCCCTTATTATATTGAAGAAGAAATTAATATAATAATAATAGTTTCCAGCTAATTTGAAACCTTATAAAGAATGGTATTTTACTACTACAGATAATAAATAAACTATAAATAATATTACCTTAAAATAGCTTAAAAAGGTCTTTATATCTTAAACAGTCTCTTCCTCATTAAATAAATCGAAATTTCTTATATTAAATAAGTATAAAAGTTATAAAACTATTGAATTTATATATAAATACTTTAAGCATAATATATACCTTTTATTCCTTTCATTATATATATTATATATCCTATAATCTTTTAATTTATTTATTTTTTTACCTTTTAAAAGAGTATATAGATATTACCTTAATAAATTAGCCTCTTTATTAAATTCTAAAGTAATTAAAAAGATTAATTTCCTTATATATTATTAGAAAGTATAATTAAATAATTTAATAGAGTATAATATATTAATTAGATGGAAAGCTTTAGGTTTATAGTCTTTAAATTATATTAAGTCTATTATATTCAGATTGTTGTTTAAAAATAGTAATAAAGAAGTTACAAATTAGAATTTATTTTTAATAATAATCTTATATATTAATAAAATAAGGAATCCGTAATTTCAACTTTTAAAACATTTCAAAAAGCTAATGATTTAAGATTATATGCATATATATTCCTTCGAAGTGAAGAGATTGATCTTTACATTTGCTGCTAACTTTTTAGAAAGATTATTAAGAAATTTGATGCTAAGGATTATGAAATTCTATAATCTGGGTATTGAATAAAACAATTAAAGTATTAATTAAAACAAATCGTTTTTAAAAAGAAATGTAAAATGAAAACTAATCCAAATTCGAAGTTTTTTAAGATTAAAGAGATTAGAAAGGTGTAAATTGAAGTGGGAAATTATGAAATTGATATGGGAGATGTTAATAATGATAATAAAAGTGTATCTTTAAGTATTTATTATAATGCTGAATAGTTATTGAATAATTAATATTTTAATATTATATAATGTAAATTTTTGAGGTGGCCTAAAAGAGGGGTGGCCTGAAAGTGGGGTACCCAACTTATGGGGGTGGGAGGGGCATGGAGGGTATGGAGTGGAGAGATTGTAGATGGGAGATGGATGAGAGATGGATGGGAGATGAATAGGAAATAAGGAATAAACAGGTTTAAAAAGTAGAGAGATTTAGGGAGTAGAATATAAAGATTTAGAAAGTAAAGAGGTTAGAGAGTAGAGAGATTATAAATAAAAATAAAGGATGTGTAGAATAAATATTGAAAGATAGATAGGAATAAATGAGGATGAATAAGAAATAGATAAGAAATAGAGAGATTTGAAGAGTAAAGCGATGTGAAAAGTAAAAGATTTAGAGAATAGAATATAAGAGTTGAAGAATAAAAAGATTAGGGAATAGAGAGGTTGTAAAGAGATAAGGAATATAGGGAAAAATATTAAATGATAAGGGATAATAGAAGATGAGAATGAGAAGTGAAGATTTAAAGAGTGAAGAAATTTTAGAAATAGAATGTAAAGATTTTAGAGAATAAAAAAGATTAGAGGATGAGGTTGTAAATGAGAGGTAGAGAATAGGAGATAAGGATAATGTTACGGGGAGCTGCCTCTAGGGTCACGTGGAAGTGGCTAGAGATCTCTCGAGTGGTTTAGACTAGACTTCAAGTAGGAATTCAATAAGGTTGTAACTGGTTGCAATTCTCGTAACTATAGTAATGAAACTAATGATTGTTCTTGAGCACGAAGCTCTACACTGTAATGAAACCCATTCCTTTATATAGACCTTCGTTCTCTGTGCTCAGTCGGATCACAAATGATCCCTCTGATCCGATCAACTGGATCACTAATGATCCCTCTGATCCGGTTACCTAAGCGTCGGGGTCACGTGACGTCTATTGTGGCAGACCATCGTAACACTATCCCCTTCCTAGCTTAGCGCTTGTCCCCAAGCGTTACTTATAGTGTTTACCCCACTTCTTGTAATAATGTAATGACTGATTTCTTTCTTTCATAATGCCTGTTGTTAGGACTCCCAAATCAACTGAAAATCGTGCTTGCTTGTATACCAAATTCAAAGAGAGAGGTTTTATTATGGATGATCCTTGTGCTCGTTGTTCTTCCCGCAAACTGGAATGTCGTGTTTTGTCAGAGTCTCGTCGTTGTGGTGAGTGTGTTAAAGCTGGTCTGAAGTGTGACCTTCTTCCTCCCACTGTCTCGGATTGGGATGCTTTGGAGCGCGAGGAACAACGTCTGGAAACGGAGCGCCGTGCTACTCTTTCTAAATTGATTCGCCTCGACACTCAGCAACGATCCCTTCGTGACCGTGCTGGTGCCATGTTGCGTCGTGGTCTGAAAACCTTGGATGAGCTGGATGCAGCTGAGGAAAAGGATAGGTTGGAAAATGAACGTGTTGAAAAGGAGCGGGAACAAGCATCTGTTTCGACTGCTGATCCTAGCGACGACTCCTTTGCTTTCGATTCTTCTTCTTTGGATCCTTCGATCCTTGCCTCAATGGATTCTCCTTCTTTCTGGGCAAATCCGGGTATTGCTGGTGGAACGCCTCCAACTTCCCAGGGCAGTTGAGGTTTGTTCTTGGTTCCCATGAATTCTCGGTATGTGGATAATCTAACCATTTGATTAAATACTTGATTGTGCCTCTGACGTACTTGCAATCTAGTATTGTTTCGACATCGTATATGGCGTTCGGGTTAACTGGTTCGATTTCCGTAAATGGCGCACTTGGCGCTCCTGGTGGTGCTGGTTCGAGTAAGGATATGTGAAACACTGGGTGAATATTCATCGTGTCTGGTAGTTTCAACCGATAATTAACGGTTCCTATTACCTTATCAATCTTGAATGGTCCTAGTTTCCTGTGATCGAGTTTATTGCTTGGTCTCTTGGTTTCGATGTTTCGTCGTAGCAGATAAACTTTATCCCCCTCTTTAAGCGTAGGTTCCATACTACGTTTCGTATTGTAGTACGCTGCTGTTCTGGAAGATATGAATCTTAGATCAAGAGCAAGCTGCTCTTGTAAATCCTTTAATTGTTCGACTTGTATTATTGCTGATTCGGCATTAACTTCCTGTGGTATCGGTGTTTGGTATGCTTTAGGATTAAACCCAAAGTTCGCGCGTGCTGGTGTAATCTTTGTGGTTTCCGTTTCCGATGTGTTATATGCGAATTGTGCCATAGGTAATAGCTCTACCCAATTGTCCTGTCGATAATTTATGTAGCATCTAAGATATGCTTCCATTGTCTGATTGGTCCTCTCTGTCTGACCATCGGTTTGTGGGTGAAAGGCTGTTGATAGTTTTTCTTTTAACACCCATTAGTGCTAATAAGGTAGTCCAGAATTTCGAGGTAAAGAGCTTGTCTCTGTCCGAGATTATCTCATCTGGTACTCCATGTATGCTTACTATGACCCTAAAGAATACATATGCTAGTTGCTCAGCAGTCCATGTTTCTTTGAATGGTATCATGTATGCAAATTTTGTCAATCTGTCTACTACGTTGAGTATTGCGTCGTACTCAACTCCTGTAGTAGGGTCTTTCGAGAGTGGTAGTTTGACCACAAAGTCCCATGTAATGGACTTCCATGGCTGAGAAGGCATGTCTGGGGTCTGGAGCTGACCATACGGAGCGTGTCTAGAGGACTTATTCCGTATGCAGGTATCGCAATTTCCAACAACTTCTTCAACTATCGTTCTCATTCGTGGGAAGTAACTGATTTCCCGTAATCTTGCGAATGTTCTCGCGATTCCCTGATGTCCATTTGCCGGCAACCCGTGTTGTTCCGTCACGAATTCCTTAGTCATTCGACTCGGAATGTATACTTTCCCATG